AGTGTAACAAACAATATTGCAGGGGGTATTTGTCCATTGTCAATATTTTCAGGGCCAACATTATTTATTCATTTTTTTATTATCCATTATTAAATAATGGCCATTTTATTGCATTCATTATTTATTATATTATTTATTATTATCATACATAATAAAGGAAAACCAAAAAAGTGCATTAAAGAAAAAGTTCTTGTCATTATTTATCAATTATTTATTTTAATTTCTAATTCACAAAAATGTTAAATGATGCTATGAAGCATTAATAATGATTGTGTACATAATAATGGAAGAAAAAAAAGTCGTCAAGGAAGATGGAGGTAAAAGAGAAATTATTTTGATGAACATTGTAGGAAAAATTAAAATTTATAAATATTTATTTTTTTTATAAATAATAAATAAATAGATTGAATCTTTTTAATTCCTAGTTTAGTTTTAATCTCTGAAAAAAAAAAAAATCTTTTTTCCAACGACCCGACTAGGCTTTTTTATTTATTATTATTTTAGGGTTTCGCTTTTTGATAATAATAATAACTAGATTAGGAAAATTTAATTTTTTATACCATATTTGGGGATTATCCACTCTTGTTGACTCGATCAACATGGGTAGTGAATATGGAAATTAAAGTAAATAAACATGTAACCAATAAATTTTAAGATCGTCGTCGTATTGATTACTTTAATATATATATTAATTAAAATATTGCTTTGATTGCCTCTTTTTTTCCATTCATTCATTCATCATTTAATTTATATCCGTCTTGACATTTTTTTTTTTTTTTTTAAAAAAATAATAATATCAAACCATTAATTAATCGCAAATTTAATCTGAAAATTATTTTTTTAAATTAATTAAGCCTAAAATTTACTAATTAATAGGAAGTCAATTACGTAATAATGAGCTTTGAATTAACTCTTGATTAATAATAAGTTAAAATAAAAAAAAATAAAAAACCTTAATTATAATAAATGTATGTTGACATATACAGATAATTGATCATTCTACTATTATTAAAATTTTGTTTCGAGGGAGCGAATATGTGTAAATGTAAATGTAAATGTGATTAATAAATAATTAATATTAATAAGTAAATATTAGATTACGAAATCTTTAATTAATAAACTTAATGGTTCATAAAAGATGCACATGTTACCTTTCACTCAGTAAATACTCTTATATACAATTAAAATTAATAAATTAAAATATAAATTTAGTTTAATTTTTTATTTTAAGATTTCAATAAGAAATTTAATTAAAAAAATATAAATAAAATAATAAAATAAGAAATGTTGAGCACACACACCAAAATCCAAATTCTTTAAATAAAATAAATATTTAATATTAAATTTTTTTTAAATAAATATATTAATAAGATAAATATAATAAATTAATAAATAAATATAAAAAAAAATAGGGGAATAACAAAATCAGTAAATTGACCAACCAATCAAATCAAATTGATTTAATCATTATTATAAAAATATTCTAAAATATCAGGTTGCTGTGATGTTGTATAAAATGTATAACAACCATTATAACCATTACCATCATTATCATTGCTAACATTATCAATATTACTATTACTATTTGTCTCTGACATGGACAAAATTGGGAAAGCGTCTAATGGGCTGGTGGGTGTTGGTGGTTCTTGGTGTTGCTGCAATAATAGCTGTGGAAGTGGCGGTTGTGGGCTAATCATTATTGATCTTCTTGGAGCTATGGACTGTGGTTGCAGTGATACCATATCATAATTATCACTACTATTGGCATCTTCTTGCTTTATATTATTAATATTAATGCTATTACTATTTACATTGTTACTATTTACATTGTAATCATTTAATTGTGAGAAATCCAATGGAAATGGATTTGCTGCCGCGAACAAATTCATAAAGTTTTGGACATAATAACCATCATTATTGGCATTACTACCATTGATATAATTAAATAATTGAGAGTTCCAGTCATCTTGTGAGAGCTCTGAAGGAAATTGTTGAAATTCATCTTGTGTGAACATCAGCTGCTGTTGTAAATGATCAGGCTGATTTATTACTAATGAACTTTGACCATTGTCTAAATCAATGGAATCTGGGCATTCGTAACTGTTAGTATTATTAAAAGTTGAAGATGAAGAGGAAGATGCGGAACCGGAGGAAGAAGTAGAGAATGATGATGAGCTGCTGGCATTACTATCTGCTCTGGACATTTGCAAAGAAAATTGCTGGTGATGAAGATCTTCAATTGGGCTATGATACAATTGTTGGTGTAATAATGATGATATAATTGCCGTTTGTGGCATTTTCGATGCCATTGTTATTAATGAAAGAGGATGATGTTCCGAGGGATTTAAAAAATTTGGCGTCTTAGGTGTTTGTGGTGGTGAAAATGTATTTTTCTTGATTGCCTTTATACTATCATTGTTATTGGTAATACTATTATTACTAATATTATCATCCGCTATATATGTTGTATTCATTATTTCTTAGATACTAACATTAAATTAATATTTAAATAACATTGCTATTAATGATGTATATATAGTATGTGGAGAATGTACACATGTATTTCATATGCATTGTTTGTTGAAATGGCTTCAGACTGAAGGAAGTCGCGGCATGTGTCCTATGGATCGTGGAACTTGGGGTAATGTGAATTTAAAATCATTATATTAATATTATATAGATTCTTTGGAATTAATTAAAACACTCTCTTACTATTATTAATAAAATTTTTATAGTTACTGAGAAACAAGATCACTAATACTAATTAATAAAATATATTTGAAATGTGTAATTTTTTTTTTCACATCGCTTGCCGTCAATATTTCGTCATTACTTATTATTCATCATCGACGACGTGCAGTCGACACAAAAACGCTTTATTATTTTCAAA